TGATTAATAAAAAGTTATTACTATTATAAAAACACGTATGATTTTACAGTGATCTGTAAATTATACAATCAAAAAATCTACTTATGACAATAAGATATAAATTGTAATATTAATATAGGTAGTATTAAAATGTATTTCTAATTTTATAGGTAATGTTACTTTAAACCAAAGTTGATTACAAATTAAAGTTAGGAATTTTATATCCTTAACACAAGTATATAATTTTGGATTAAAAAATAATTACTTTTGATCGTTTTTTTCACAACCTAATAAATAGAAAATGTAATATATACTTTTATTTATAATATATTATTTTTATTTTTCYACCATAAATTAAAACCAAACATTTTAGACTGTTGATTATGTCTTTATCATTAAATWAAAAAAATAAAATGTTTTGACTTAATAGGATTATAACTGTTTGTTTCAGTAACGTTAAAGATATCAACTCTGTTCTCGAAGTCACAGTTTTTGATGAAGATCCTGACTACAAAGTAGAGTTCTTGGGGAAAGTAGCCATACCGTTGCTTTCTATTAATAATGGTGTGCAAAAATGGTATTCTCTCAAGGATAAAAAGTTATCAGGACGGGCTAAAGGAAACAATCCAAAAATCTTATTGGAAATGCGGCTCATCTGGAACCCGGTATCTTTTCTAAAATCGTCTAATTTCGCTTCTAATGCGCTTAATTTAATTCTATTGTTGGTTAAGTTTAGATACGAGCGTTTATCAGGACATTAAATCCAAAAGAGGAAAAATATATGCAGCAAGAGGTTAAGTTCAAAAGACAGACACTTATCAGAAATGTAATGAGGCTCAAACAGCTCGTCTTGTGGGCTATCGATATTGGAAAATACTTTGAGTAAATATTCAATCATAATTTAGCCCAAAATAATATTTACCTTGAATATTATCGAAATCATTAATCAATAATATGCTAYAACAATTACGTTATAGGTACTTAATATTATGAATTGATGTTTAAAAACACACACACACACATATATACAGAATAAATAATTAAATACACAAATAATGTATAGGTATTATGTTACGCAAAAATTGACAATCAGGGAATCTGTAATTTTCTTAAGTATTAGGCCAATGCTTGAATTACTATAATTACTTATTCATAATACTTAGTATACTACTTAGTCTTAGTTAAGTTTTTACTAGATACCAAAGTCCTTATTATTTTGAAAATATAATTTTCAAATAGTTAAATTTTAATTTGTTTAAAATATTTCATCATACAAGTGTTGACAATAATTCCTTGATTAAAGCATATTATACAATAAACATGAAGTTCCAGCTAAACGTTTTTTTTCTTCACGCATATATTTTATTGACCAACTTTTTCCTGATTATGTTTACTGTATCAATAAAAAAAAATTCATCCTTCTCATTTTTAAAAACATTCTTCATCTATTAATAAATATATACAATTA